GAAAGCTGCAGTCTGGTAGATGCAGCGTGAGAGCACGGAAACATGTGGAGTTCATCATTCATTGACCCTTATTCTGTTTGCAACATTTATCAGTGTCACCACCCACAAATTATCAGTTTGAATAAACTTGATGTAATTTTTTCAGTGTGGGAGATTTGTGTGCTTTACTTATCTTAGAGAATACTTGATCTCACTCCTACTATTGTTACATATCAATGTTGGCGAAGCATAGGTCCGGCATTTCTCGAGGTCTCAAGAACTCCCTTTTGTGGAGATTTGCAAGGTTGTCGTGATGTAACACACTTAAGATAGTGAAGAAATTATCTAACCAACCATCCATTTTCTTTACCTGCTTTTTTCTTTCCCGGTTATGGGCTGGTGTCTATCTCCGGCAGTCACAGTGCAAGAGGTGGGGGACACCCTGGACAGGTTGCAAGTCCATCACAGATGTAGGTTAGGTTTAGGTTTATTTAGTTGTCACATGCAGGTCAAGACAAGGTCAACAATGAAATGAAATGCTCAGGACGAGAAGAACCGTCTCGACTTGCCAAAAGAACAACAACAAAAATACCAAAGCATGCAACAAAAATACAAAAATAAGGCACCAAAAGTAAAAATGATACATCTACAGCAGCATGGTCCTATTAGCAGAGTGGTTCTGTTGGCAGTGAGGATCTTTTAGTGACATGGCCCTATTAGCAGCATGGTATTGTTAGCAGCATGGTATTGTTAGCAGTGTGGTTCTGTTAGCAGCATGGAACATTTGCATAGTGGTTCTGTTGGCAATGAGGTTCTCTTAGCAAAATGGTCCCATTAGCAGTATGGTTCTGTTAGCAGCATGGTACTGTTAGCAGTGTGCAGTGTAATTATGTTAGCAGTGAGGTTCTTTTAGCAGCATGGCACTGTTAGCAGTGAGGTTCTGTTATCAGCATGGTCACATTAGCAGTGAGGTTCTGTTATCAGCATGGTCCTGTTAGCAGTGTGGTTCTGTTAGCAGCATGGTACTGTTAGCATTGTAATTCTGTTAGCAGCATGGTATTGTTAGCAGTGTAGTTCTGTTAGCAGCATGGTCCTGTTAGCAGCATGGTACTGTTAGCAGTGTGGTTCTATTAGCAGCATGGTACTGTTAGCAGTGTAGTTCTGTTAGCAGCATGGTCCTGTTAGCAGCATGGTACTGTTAGAATTGTGGTTCTGTTAGCAGCATGGTCTTGTTAGCAGCATGGTACTGTTAGGAGTGAGGTTCTGTTATCAGCATGGTCCCATTAGCAGCATGGTACTGTTAGAATTGTGGTTCTGTTAGCAGCATGGTATTGTTAGCAGTGTGGGTTTGTTATCAGCATGGTACTGTTAGCAGTGTGCTTCTATTAGCAGCATAGTCCTGTTACCAGAGTGGTTCTGTTGGTAGTGAGGTTCTCTTAGCAACATGGTCCCATTAGCTGTATGGTTCTGTTAGCAGTGTGGTCCTGTAAGCACCATGGTACTGTGTGCTTCTGTTAGCAGTGTGGTTCTTTTAGCAGTGTGGTTCTGTTAGCAGCATAGTCCTATTAGCAGTGTGGTTCTGTTAGCAGTGTGGTCCTGTAAGCAGCA